ATATATATATATATATATATATATATATATATATATATATATATATATATATATATATATATATATATATATATATATATATATTTATACAGTGATATATACAGCGGGAGGAGTTTCACATGTAATTACCACTAATTCTTAGAATAAAGCTACATGAAATTGATAGTTCAGAATGTGTTTGCCCTTTGATCTAACTCAGGCCATTCCTTCATTTTCGAATTCATAATCACTTCAGTACTTCAACTTCCTAACATTATTGAAAGAAGGAAAAGGAAATCAGTAAGGAACATAGGAACAGATGATAATCGGTATCACGTATACTAACTGTACTACCAACTTGACGATAATAACTGTCATCATTCGCTAAATGGAGAAGTTACCGAATGTATTATATCTGTGATGCGTGTCGATCTATTTGTGCATGTTGAATTGGATACTACCCCGTATTGACCCGTACTGATAGGACAGGTATGAGAAAACACTTGACGATAATGACGGTCATCATTCGTTAAATGAGAAGGCAAAGGAAAAGTTCGACGGCTACGTATAGGTACACCTTCCCTTTCAATTTATATTATTTTGCGCAATTGCATTATCACATATGCAATATTTCATAAAAAAAAAGAAAAATCAAATTTGAAAGTCAGATTTTTTTTTACAGTAATGTATGGGAAAATAAAAAATCACTTTCAACAAAATGTGAATTTCTATCTTTGGCAAGATGGAGACTTTGCCAAAAAATGAAATTCAACAGCAGTCTCATTTCATTAAATATAATGTGCTTTTTGGAATCCCCAAAAGCTTCAACAATATTGGTCTTGAGAAGGGAAATTCATTAAGTGTCCCTTCAAGGTTCATTAATTAAGGAGAAGTTCAACCGATCCAATTACTGATGAACTCCTTTTTCGCTTCCCGTAAAACTGCCATCAAGAAAAGAAAACGTTTCCATTTTAAATTTCTTTACTCCAATGCAGCGTCTGGAAATCAATTTCTAAAAAATACTGAGTTCTCAGTGAATGCGAATAGGAAGAACTGGAAAAACCAACTATAAGTAAACAGAAGAGGAAAGTGTAAAATAGCATTTCCGGTAAGAAATAATGACCATTAGCAGCAAATCTGGGGTAATGCTTATTCTTCAAAGAGAAGAAAGACTTCCCTGGATCAAACTTTCTCTTCCCTCATTCAAGAAGTTCAAGAAATGTAGATTGAACAGAATAGTTAACATTGTAATCTCTCAATTATACGACACTTGGCAACTTCATTTTAACGCCAGTGTTTGCATTATCAAGTTTAACTATTTTACGTAATCGCAGTTCAGTTTTGTGGTAAGTGCAGCTATTTTTTATAGGATACCAACCTTACTATTTTGACTAACTAAGATGCACTGCATGAGTTCCTGCATAAGAAGCACTTACTTTGGTTCCGGTATAAGTTGTCGTTTCCGGATACTTGACAAAACATTTTCCCCTAAATGCCAGAATATAACAACCAACGTACTTGCCGCTACTTCTCTCACATCGATATTCGGATCAACCATCAGGTGACACAGGGATGGGATCATTCGATGTATTTGTGGTTCTACGAATCGCCTCCTGAAATTCAGAATTTGGAAAAGAGAAATAAATATTTCACAAATCTTAGCAGATCTGAAACTGATAATTCCAGAAGTCAAACACTTTCCTATCAATTTATCTGGAGAGTTATAGAAGCAACATTCGTACTTCATACAGTTTGGAAAACATTACATTTTGTTTTTAAATCCTATCTAATGATTTCGATTGAATAAATTTCATTGTAAAAATGCATCTGTCAAATAGCTCCAAGTACAAATGCCATTTTACAATGTATTTTATGCATTATTGGAAAATTATGCTTACCCAGCGAATTCCTCTCTGGATATCCAAATTTTTTACCTGGTGGAATTGAAACTTTTGAAGTCATGAAGCAAAGAGAAAGAAGGATTTTCTGTCTAGACATTAAGCATCACCACATCAAATGAGATAGCATGCCAAACTAATGGTCATCATTCAAATAGGCATGATGAATAGTATGAGGCAAGAGAATTTGGACAACAGATGGACATTAAAGGCTAACTGGATGTAATCGATCATCTTACTTTTTTTCTTTTACTACCACTCAAAATGGAAATAACAGTTTGATTCGTCAAGTATTTTGAAAGTAGAGTTGGACATTTCAGAATAAAATATAAAAAAATCCATGTACAAATCCTGATATATTAGTTTCCGGATGAAATCGATTTAAAAATAATATTTTCAATCATTAAATCCTTTGCAGAACATTGCTTTGGTAGCTTGAAGTGCTCTGATTTAAATACAACAAAACTTACCGATTTTCAAGTACCACTCTGACCACGTGCATAGTACCGATACGTACTAACCATTGACGATGATTTAATCCAAATGATATTCTTTCAAGAACAGCCTGAAAGTGTGCAATTGAGTCAGGAAGGCATTTACCTATTCAGCCGTAATCATTTTATCTTATCAATACAGTCACTTTTATCAGTTCACTGGGTAGATCAAGAAAAATTAAGCAGTTACTACTATGGAACAATGAAATATTATCCACTTTGGTTTTAGTAGAAATTATGCAAAGGCAAACTCAAAAGACATAGCTCAGTGATAGAGAGATCTAATGAATAAATCAAGTCCATCAATGTTTAATTGAGTGAGTGTGCTTGATCGATGCTTGATTACTGATATCAAAAGATATTCTTATCATTCTTCTTACAACGTGTTGCAGGCAACTTCTGACATTTAAAATGAGTGACCTGATGTATAATGAACGTGAAGTTTTAACTGGACAAGATAAACAGGGAATAATAACGATATAATTCTTTATGAATCTTAATATCAGTAATATTAATAACATTCAGCTTTCACTGGATGTAGGCAAAAGTTGCTTGCAACTCGTTGTAATAAGAATGATAAGATGATATTCCCTCTCACTGGATGTAGATATTATCATAAATGGTCGGTCTTAAGCTTAACATGATAATGACATCAGAAATATCTGTTGAAATGAGTTCTAAAGTACCGAGAGATTTGGATTTATTGCAAAAATAATAACGAAAAGGTATAAGCGAGATAAACATAAAGCTGGAAGAATGAGATGGATGGGAACATTCTAGAAAATGTAGGAGAAGTATTTTTGAATTGTTCGATAAAAGCCAACAGGAATTGTTTGGAGATGTAGTGCAGTACATCTTTTCCTGATAGTGAACCTGTATGCGAGATACGGATATAAGCATTAACTTCTGGGACTCTCATCGATTTCCGGCAAAGAACACATGCTGAAGAGCCGGATTGGAAATGGTTTATGAATCAGAAGGATAATTAGAAGCTGCCGAGAGCGATCTACGAATGTAAGACCGAGCAAAGAATATAAGATCATCACCTCTGTCTTCGATGTTGATGTAAAAATGGTAACAAGCAAAAGCAGAAATATGAACTTTGGTATGGCCCCTTGATCAAATGCACCTTACCTGAGGACTGCAATGTGGTGTATTTGCGAGTGCAGCAAGAAGTTGGACCATGGCTTCACGTACACTCTGTTTTGAATCGCCCAGACGTTCTACCAGAGCTGTAGCCCGATCCAATAAATAGGGTGAGATTACATCCGCGGATACTTCAATTGCTACGTCAATAATTTCTACTGCAAGCAAAGCTACCTGAAAAAAGAGCGTCGAAAATTGCTTCTGGCAGATTTTTCATTTCGAAATTTGTCTAGAAAAGTTTTTTAACATTAACAAAACTAAAAACTCCCTATTATTTATTATTCATTACATGATTGCAGTGCTAATGAACTGGATAATGATCGTAAACTTTTCTAACCTTATAATTAGAGCCGGATAACCACTGTACCACTAAATCGCAGAAATCATTGAGAAGAGTTGAGTCAGATGAAAGTCTGGAAATTTGTAACTGCGACAGTATTTGCTGTCCAAGTTCCAGACGTTCACGTGGATCCGAACTGTTTTGTTCCAGCAGTTCAGCAAGCCAACTCATTGTTTAGTCTTTCCAATTTATATCATGCCAAATATACGAAAAAAAGAAAATTCATTACTCTCAGCATTTCAGTTACGCATTAATGCCATCACCTATCACACTGGTGACAGCCATCATCTATCATACTGAAAGATGACATCATCGGCAGTATCCTAATGTATAATACATTTTTTACATGAAAGCATGAAAATAGTTTCTACAACCATAAGTGCTATCAGTGGGATACAAAATGCAATGACAACAGTATAATAATATTCATTTTCACTGTACCACTGTCTCTCTCTGCGAAACAAATTTTTCAAATTATTTTCCTTTCGACTGAAAAGAATTCTCCGGATATGTTCATTTTATGTGGTAAATAAACAATGAGCAAATATTTAAACAAATCAGTAGGTGGATGAATAAGTATAAGTAAATGCTAGACGGATTGAAAATTAAAATGAATGTAAGTACGAAATGAAAGTAATTATAATACTATTTAATATAAAATAATAATGGTTCAGCTGATAGACAAAAAAAGAGTAAGAATTACGGAAGCAAATTAAAGAGTTACTTCTAGTAAATAAAATGTTATCACAAGCTTCCTATGCTGGACAGCTAGCTAACTTGCAGATAGGCTAAGTTGAATGCAACCGCTGCAAGCAAAATTGACATTATTGAAAAAAGAAAGAAATACTATCCGATTTGGAAACTTCCATCAACTTTGCTTAACTATAGGTAAATATTTTAATTAATGGTGTATGGAAGCCTCAATTAAGCAAGCAAAGTAAATTACATATCAAATAGGAACTAATAACAGCATGTTCATTAATTCAGTGGGATGTCGCTACTGAGAGAAACTAAATGAACTGAATAGCGAAGATTTTTTGACTTCAGTTTTTTGGATTCTTGATCCTCTCTGACATATTATCATGTATTGGTTATGCTAGTGGTATAATTTGCTGTCGAAGAAGAATTACGTCTTTCAATAACACGCATGAGGTCTTTTGAAAGAGATCATATGTTTGTCATCAAATATCTTCCCGTCTCAGATTGGATTTGGCAATTGGTGACTGTAATATTATTACAAAAACTGTTAATATCGAATTTTATTGAACCCTAAAAGTATGCGATGAATGATTGCTATTTCAATTAATAATGGTAAGAATAAATTAGATTGAACTACGGAGATGTACACTAAAAAGGAAAGCAAAATAAAGATTTTGATGAAAATAAATCTAACAGCAACTAGCACAACGATGATGACAATGACCACTGCTATGATTATGAGGACTTTAGGGACTGAATTGCATACCTCCTTGAAATATATGATACACCAAAGTAAAATTAATGAATAGGAAGTGAGAAGATATTGGATGTTGGGCTTCCAACAAATTTTGTGAAAAATAAAGTTTAATGAAAAGGTAAAAGAAATGAAGTGCAGTGCTCAGACTTTTTGAACTTATGTTCTTTAAGCTAAGCTTTTGTCTTCCGCTTGACATTGTAGCATAGATCAGAAGTGCAACCTACGCAACCTATCCTTTTGGCTAGCATTTAATGTAAAAAAATTGCTTCTCGTACAATTAGGTAGTGCTTTTGAAGTTCCCATAGATTGGGAATTTCTATAACTTTCACTTTTTAATTATTGCTTAATGATTTCGTCAAAACATATTAATAAACACTATAGTGTCTGAAAAATCTTCCCATCTACTGGTAGCTGGTACTATCGGTAAACTGCGAAATTGGAGTTAGTAGTGGGAGTTCAATTGTATCAGTTTCTATCTTATCGCGATGGCACAAAATTTTCCATCTTATTCACTTGTTCAACAATTTTCATTCAATTTTAAATGCACTCACTCATTTTTCTAAGATGAAATTGCGGCACATGTTTCATAAATTTAAAAAATTTTTGAGTTATTTGCGAAAAGAACATGTTATAAGAAGTCTGTGGCAATCTCATAATTCTTTATTAAGAATAAATTTTACAAAGATAGACCAAATTGGTTCATTCGAGCAATACAATGTCAAAACTGGTTGCTATTATGAAAATAGGATATTATCATTTGGCGAGTTCTTCGAACAACTGAACCAATTTTTATGGCCATCCAATTGAAGAGAAACGGAAGCATAAGAAAAATCAAACAGCAGCTGGTAATTTATTGAAAAAATGTGAAATGGTGTCCATATGGACAAACGTAATACTGTTGTCTATTGTAGCTGTAGCAATGATTTTATGTACCCCAATGATATATATATATATATATATATATATATATATATATATATATATAATAGAGAGTAGTTAGTTAGTAA